AATTCTATCAGGGCTTTAGCTTTCCTAGCCTGATCCCTGGCTGCTCGGACAATGTCTCTGTATTCCTCCCAGGCTACCTGTCCTTGCTTCCACCCTCTGTAGGCTTCCTTTTTGTGTTTGAGTTTGTCCAGGAGCTCCTTGTTCATCCATGCAGGCCTCCTCCCTGTCTCACTTCTCCCCTTGCTCCTTTGCTTCAGCAAATACTGGATATGACCAATCGTTGTAGACCCAAGTAATTCCAATAACATGGGTATGAACAGACAATTTTATTCCGTAAGTCCCATGACTTCATAGAAAGTCACATGGAGAGATTCAGCCAATCTTCCCACCCTGTTTACAATGCATATATTTTAACAAAATGGAGGTAGCTCATTGGAGAACAACACAGATTTAGGTTTTTCTGCCACTTGTTAGGGTCGTTCCTCCAAAGCCATAAGGAGGTGCTGCTTGGGTCCTGTCGGGCCTGAACTTCCAGCCCAAAGAGAAGGCACCATACAATGATCTGAATTGTTAAAATAAAGTAGAACAGAACCAGATATACCTGTGTTCCTACTAGTAAAAAGGGAACATTAGGTGCATATTCCTTCAACTCCGGTACCCACTCTTCTTTCACATTTTGAAATGAAGCAGGGTTTACCACTGAGAAGCAGATAAGGAAGACATCGGTCATAGGATAAGATAAAGGTCTCAGACGATCATAGTCTTCCTGAGAAAGAAAAATTCTGTTATCTGCAATGTGAAATTGTTGCTTATATTTTGTTAATTTTAACAGTTATATTCAGAAACAGTATTCATATTTCAGGAATTTTGTTGAGGCAAACTTTCTGAATGTTTACAACTATTCCAGGTTAGTTAGTGAGGCTGTTAGAGCAAAATCTGCACATGAGGGTAACTATATGTGAATATAAGTACTTTGAAAAGTGTGTTAATACTGATAGAAACTTACTTCTGTACAAGAATATACAGAAGACTACCCTTTAAAAAGTTTTCACTTAAAGAAAAAAAAAGGCTTATGGTTCAAACATGCTTGCAAATCAAAGGTTAGCATTTGTTTGACCAAAGAGAAATAAGCAGATGTGACTGCTATAGAGCCATCCAGGTTATGCAAAGCTAGGCTAGATTAAGGCTATTTAATGCACTTAAATGTTCTCTTTTGGATCATATGTAGAGGTGATATTTAAGGCCCTCCTTAGAATTTTCTTTCTGTCTCTTAGAAACCTTACTGCCCAGAAACCTACTGCCAGGGCATACAATACCGTGGCAACAGAAGCAGCTAGGAGCATCATCCCTGTTGTAAAACGGAGTTCTCTCTAGCAAGAGAGAAAGTGGATTTTGCCTTATTTTTTAGCTAAGAGCAGGTGGGAACATGCCCCAGCTTCTTTCTGCAAGGCTTCCTTTGCTCTATGGCAGTGAACCAGTGCCTTACCATTCCTACCTGAGGCTTTTTTTTTTTTTTTTAAATAGATAACTAAGACTGAGCCCAGGCATTGCAGAGACAGTGAAGAATGCTGGTATTATGCCTTCTCTTCCACAATAAACACCGGTTTACTATGGCTGCCGCAGCAGCCTCCCTCTTCCCCATGTAAGCTCCCCATCTTAATTAAATCTCACAAATACCGGAACTCTCTGTAGAGACAGAAATGTAATTCAACGCCATGTTTGAAACGAGCCAGAAAATTACATTTTTGTTTCCTTGGCAACAGTCACATTACCAGATTATTAACCTATAGTTGCACCCTCAAAAAAGCCCTTCATTGATTAATTGTTAAGTTTTAAAGATAGTGTCACTAGAATTTTAGAAAACGTGAGAACTTCCTCCGAACAGTTTCTGCTAGACCCATCTTTTCATTTGGAAGTCAACAACTATGGGAAGAGGGCCGTTATCCTCATCATGAAATGGAGAAAAGACAAGCACTGGAGGAGAGTCTGCACTAGCAAGGAGGTGACCATTTGCCAGTACTCTTCAGTGTCTGTTTACACAATATTCTTATTTGTAATCCGTATTCTCATGTGCCATTTTGATTACAGACTCTACTGCCAGTCTTGTATACTCTGCAGTTTTCTCAGTAAGCTAAAGCATGCTTAGTTGTAAACATGGGCTCCCAATTTCACCACCACAGTAACAGACACTACTGTGGAACTACATTTGACAGGCCTTTTTGAAGATCAGTCGTCTCCCTGCTAGTGTCAAGCTCCTATCCTGATTCAAAAGAAAAAAACAGTAACTGTGTCTTTTCCACATCTGTCGACGTTCATCATAGAAAGCAGAAATAACTTTAAGAACATCACAACAGCAACTTGAAACTATTCAACATTCAATTCTGTTTTTAAGCATGTATTTTACATTTCACTTCTACTACTGAATATAGTTAGATCCCACTCAGGGTTGCCACTCTTTTTTCTGGGGTGGAGATCAAAATCCTGAAAGAAGCTTCCCAACTGCAAATTACACTGGTCCCTGGAGTACAAAAATCTGCATGCCAGAACACACAGGCAGATCCATCAGTTGCTCTCAAATTCAGCTCTACTAAATCATATGTGGGGTATTACTGAATAGATTTTCTTTAAAAATCTAGTTTAAAGTCGTAATTTGTTCCTACTGCCAAAGAGCTGCCTTCATTACACTCAACATTTTCTAGAAATCTCACATCTGGGTTACAATAACTAGAATACTGTCTGCATTAAATGCTGGAATGGAGAAAACATTTCACTGTCACCAGAAATTGCTGTTAGTCCCTTGACCTTAAAATATCTCTTTAGTTAATCCATTTCAAATTACAGAGGGACCTTTTATTCATAGCAAATACTAATCATTTTCTGATCTCAAAGCCGAGTTACATTTGCATGGTTTACTTCAAAATGTTCATATTTAGTTTATCTTTTTAAATCCCATTGGATACTAATCCTTGTACATTTAGCCACATCTTGGTACCACACCTTACTTCCCACATATTCTTCAGCAGTCATCTGGGAGTGAGCATTGTTACCGCTTTTTAAGGCATGTGCGTTGCGTTGCTGAACTCCTTTCCTGCCCCTGCATCTATTTATATGCCTTTTGATTTATACCCTGTCCCATCTGCACTGGGCAAGCTGTGGGCCCATCCTATGTAATTAAGAAGTTAAACTGAAGGCAAGTACAGTGTGATTGGATACATCACGTACCACGGCCAAAGATGTACGTGGTATTCACTACAGTGACTTCACTGCATTTATGCTTACTTAAATTAACAGAGAATTTGGCTATACCTGCCAAATTTGAAACAAGTCAGTGCTGTCAGGCTCTCCTTTAAACCTTGTCTGTGCTAAGAAAATTAGGTTCATATTGATACTAATAATGGCAGGTAATTCTAATAAAGCCTCCCACCATATGATTAGACTGGTCCTGGGTCCTCATAAGAGAGACCCTGGCTTAAAATGTTACCAGCATCTAGTAGGCCATCTGTGCTTAAAGACTCCTTCTACTCCCCAACAGCCTCTCAGAAATAGCAATCAAACCTGAAAACTTTCTCTGATGTATTGGGCCTTAATAACTGCTGCACTTGGTAGAAGAATCTGAAATACCAAATGAATTTAGACTGAATATTAGAGAAGCCTGGAAAAATCCGATTGCTTCAACTGTAATTTATTTCCTGAATCTAGTGTAAGGGAAATAAACGTGGTTTATTCTAAAATTAAATGCAATGGCAAAATCTAATTATACTAGCCAGTCAACATAAATTCCAATTTGAGTGCATGTACACACCACACGGTACAGCAATTAGACTTCCAATCTAATTGGGGGAGGCACTGCGTGTATATTTAGGCATTAAAAATATTTAAAGAATTTAACTGGAATATTTTAAGAATGTGAATAAGATGGGCAAGAAAGCCACTAAGGACTGAAATATGCAGTACAAGTCTCAAAAACTCCAGGCTATAATAGTGAAATGGCTCATTCTCCAACATACTCCGGGACTTCAGAACAAAATTGTTCACTATTTGCTGAAGCAGATGAATACAGATAGAAAAACATGCTGAAAATATGAGAGTTGTAATAACTTTAAACAAATTGGACGCAAGTATGTTGGCTTAATTAACGTTATATGGAGCTGTGATCCCTATAGAAGATACAACATTGCAGCAGGACCACCCATCATTTACCTAGCATCTCTGTGGTAACCCAGGACAGCTGCCAGTACAGAACAGACATGGGAAAGGAGATGAGATGGAGGAACTAATGACTTGACTTGGCTTGTCAACTACAAACTGGGAAGGACTGTTTGGATGTTTTATTTTGTTTTTAAGAGGAGAGAATGGAAATTCATACTTTTAAATTTTCATTTCGCCCTAGTTTGGATATTCTGCAGGTTAAGTCTAGCATTGCCTTTATCTTAGCTCCTTAAAATCTCTCCTTTAGGTCTCTTTTTCCATGCTACAGTACCTAATAATCTGCCTCTCTGAGACTTTCTGCTGCCTTGTACTTGAATACTGAGTCACTGATTTTCACTGTATTTTGGATGCTCAGGTGGATTTGTTTTAACACATCCAAAATTTGGCTATTTTTTTCCCTGACATTTACCTGCTCAAAAACAGAGGTCTTGAGGAACTTTTTGTATGCAGACTGAAGAATGGTATTGCAATTCTGCAGCATTATATTCTTCTTCATTTCAAGGGTTTGCTCAGACTAAAAGCAGAATGCAGTGCCGTATTTCAAGTTGTACAATTGATTTTGAACTAATACTTTTTCCCAATGCCATGGATATCAGCTGAGAGACATAGTTAAAAACACACAAACTGTATCCCTAACTCTGCCACTGACACAATATGTAGCCCTGAGCAAATTATTATCCTCTCTCTACTCGCATCTTCCCATCCGTAGGGGTTTGCTAGCTTAATAATGCATTAGTCTTTGCGAAGCACTCCAAAAGCCTTTGATGTACATAGCTTATGTGCAGTGGGATATTTAAAAAAAAATAAACTAAGGCAAAGTGAAGTCTAATAATTTCTGGACAACCTTCTTGACCCACAAAAAGCATTATTTCCTTGTATTTGTTAGAAAACTGAAGTAAGAGGTGCAGGCATACTGAGATCCCATAGTATAGAGCCCCTGTAGCTCCCCTGTTTTATCACGCTCCTCCCTGCCCAAGTTAAAGTGATGGGGACAGAGGTCCTTACCCCTCTCTCAGTAATGTGAGACCACAGGCCTCCTTCTCCTCTGGAATGGTATTAGGGTCTCTCTGTCCAATTTGGAGAGATGAAAGGCAATTAGAGGAGTCACCTTTGCAGTCAATACCTTCCCACGCCTTAACCAAGACCCTTGGGGAAATTCATACCTCTCAGATCTGCAGGTAGCAAAGAAGATGTTAACCTAGATCTGTTTGTTTTGATTTTTTTCCTTGCAAATATGAGGGCTAGTGTCTTTAAGCAAATAGGAGAAACCAAATTCTGGTATGTCATTAACATTGTGGCAGGGGCCCTCAGCAAGCTGTGTCATGCTTATGTTTTAATCCAGGCCCAGTGTTTTAGAGTCTGATGGAACCAAAGTAGTTAATGACTTCATGTGTTTTGCAGCTTAGGAACGAAATTTTAACAATCCATCTCCAGTTATATCATACTGACATACTCTTATAAACAAAAGGATAAGCCTATTTCTTTTCCATTCTGAGAAGGCATAAAGTGGATGGGAGGGAACAAAATAAAGCTTGCACCACTGGAAGAAAAACTGGAACTCAACAACTCTAGGTTTGTGATCTCTGTGTTAGCAACCATCTG